GAATTTTATTAAAACCAATGAATGCAAGAGCTGAATTTATTTACCGATGTCGGGGCCGGGTTCACTCACTCAAATTGACGATAGCTATAGCTGAGCTCATTCACACCGAGCTGAGTTATTTATTAACGCGGGGGCCAAATTTATTTCTCGACGACGGAGCTGATTTCACTTATTCACGACGAGGCTGAACCTATTTATCAAACTTGGGGCCAAGTTCACTTACTAAAGCTGATGATCGCTGGGGTCGATCTCATTCACTCTGAGTCGAGTATCATTCGATAGCCGCTGACCTCCCTTAGCTTTGCTGGGGCTGAATACATTCATCAACGCTGGGGCTGAATTCCTTTACGCCGTCAACAGCCATTTATCTCCGACGTCGCTATGTTTCGCTCGCCATAGAACCTCGACTCCGGCTAAGCTGACATTAATATCTACTCGTCGTTGAGCCTCGACTCCGGCTAAGCTGACATCTTTATATTTTTTCGCTGTTGAGCCTTTACTCCAGCATTAAAAAAAAAGAGCCGAATCTCGAAAAATAGTTCGGTGCATAAAAAATGTGTGTCTTCCCCGCAAGTGGCAAGGCACAGAACCTACCATGGGGAAACACAATTAATGGACTCTCGAAAAATCAGTCCACCTTGCAGAAGCCTCACTTCCTAGTCCCAAAGATGACCTGGACAGGCTAATGCAACACTGCCGGATACTTCCAACCCCTGAAGATGGCTTGGGGAGGCTGATGCCCGTCGTAGCTAGATCCTGAAGTTGATTTAGCGGGCTTACAATAAATATCCGACATCAATAATGTAGTCGGATCGAAGTCTAACATATGTCAAATCCCACAGCTGATTTGGTAGAACTACAATCCGCAATAATACCAAATCCTTAAGTTGATTTGGTCCTAAAAGTGATTTAATACAGCCAATGAATGTTCTTTCGCCAAATCCTGAAGTTGATTTGGTACGGCTAATATTCCGACATGGCACAGCACCTACCGACAAAAAATAAAATCAGACTCGACAAAATATCGAGGTAACATCATTTATGGCACATTAATTATTTACCGCACGTGCTTATCATACATTCGTGCATTCATACATACATTCATCATATACGCGCGTCATACATACATCTTGACATAAAATTTATTTTCCAAACCCTGAAGTTGGTTTAACAAGGCTAATGCCCGACAAATTACATCAAAGATCAGGAACACGCTACCTGACCGATAAATAAAAAAATACAATATACCAAACACTTTTATATGTTTGGGCCTACACTGGTTAGGCAAAGTCAATAAGACCTTTCCCGGCTGACAGAAATACAAAAGAAATAATCTTTACACTGAGTTCTTCAGCTCGGTAGGATAAAACCTTTGCTTACACCAAGTTCTTCAGCTTGGTAAGGCTGATACCCGTTCATATATTCCTTAGAGCCCCACGTTGGTGAAGGGCACTTTAACATCTTACCAGCTGAGGCGATCATATTCCTTAAAATATTTAAAGACCGAAGACCGGATATCGAATTATCCGACCAGGTCCAAACTACTAAGAAAAATAAACAAAAATCGCGTCGTCTCAGTACGACATCAAAATTGCGAATCCCATAACAATTTCAGGGGCCCGAGTACCCACACATAGCCATATCATCATCATTAACATACGCAAATCCATTAAATGCGTCATATTACATGCAAAACATGAAAACTGGGTACCAAATTACCCGACTAGGCCATCCAGGCCTCCATTCATATAGCAATTTCAAAAACATGACTATTCACGCAATCGACGTCCATACATCACAACATTTGGACATGTTATGAGCAAAAGTCAGCCAAAATTGACTATACATGCGACTTCAGAACAGTTCTATTCAGAACATGCCCTAAAGTCTGGGGCCTTCTGTTGATACCTAATTTTGGCCTCGCCTATTAAGATACTACACGTGGATATATATATTAAATCAATTGTTATAATTTATCTTATTATTAGGGCCCAAAAATAACACCACTTGCAATAATATCGGGCCCAATAAATATCCATATATATATAAAGTCCCCATGATGGATAAGTAGGAGAATTTTTTCTTCGGAGGGACACTTCAATTTTTTTCTCTTATCTCATACGAGGCACCGCCTCAATTTTTTTATCCTGTTTTCCTGATCTTTCTGTTCTTTCTTCAACACAAACAGAGGAAGAAAAATACAAAAAGAACAAATAACAATTAAGAGAAAGGGATCGATTTTCATCTCTCAAAATCACCTAAATTCTTATGTTTCTTGTACCCCTTATTTACAGGATAGGGGTGTACATTTTATGTTGTTACAAAATCGCATAACAACAGGAGTATGATTTGCATAAATAAATAAACTGCAAACATATGTAATTTGACTGAAACATGATGGCCAGATCACAATAGAATCGATAGAATCTGCAAAACATAGCTTTTACAGAATATCTCTAACAATGTCCCACTTATGCTTTATAAGCTCATGGCTAAACAAACTAACCACAATTTATTTCAATCTAATTCTCAAAGACTAGTCTACTATGTCTCTCTAACATCTGACTCCCATTCCTTCTACGTTTCTTGTAAAGACTTCCGCCGGTAAGCTTTTCGTAAAAGGATCTGCTAGGTTGTCCTCTGACTGTATCTTGGCAACAACGACTTCTCCTTGTCCAACGATTTCTCGTATCAGGTGGTACTTGCGCTCTATGTGTTTACTCACTTTATGAGTCCATGGCTCTTTCGAATTTGCTACTGCTCCGCTGTTATCACAGAACACTATAATCGCAGCGGGCAAACTCGGTACCACATCAAGGTCGAGGAGAAAATTCCTAAGCCAGAAAGTTTCTTTCGCTGCCTCTAAGGCTGCTACATACTCAGCCTCCATGGTTGAGTCTGCCACGCATTTCTGCTTGACACTCCTCCATACTATGGCTCCTCCTCTTAAAGTAAACAAAAACCCTGAGGTTGACTTGCTTTTGTCTTGGTCTGCCTGGAAGTCAGAATCGGTGTAACCTAACGGAAGCAATTCATCTGCTTGGTAAATCAACATGTGCTCCTTAGTCTTACGTAGGTACTTGAGTATATGCTTTACCGCAGACCAATGTTCCGGTCCTAGATTACTCTGATATCTTGCTACCATTCCCACAGCATAACAAATATCAGGTCGCGTGCATAACATAGCATACATGAGGCTTCCTACTGCCGATGCATAAGAAACTTCCTTCATGTCCTCTACCTCTTGAGGTGTCTTCGGGGACATCTTCTTGCATAGAGGTACTCCGTGCCGAAAGGGTAAATCCCCTTTCTTGGAATCCTGCATGTTCAAACACTTTAGGACAGTGTCTATGTATGTGGATTGGGATAGGCACAACTTTTTCTTCTCTCGGTCACGAATGATCTTAATTCCGAGAACATGTCCTACTTCTCCCAAATCCTTCATATCAAACTGCTCGGATAACCATACCTTTACGTCAGATAACATCTTCACACTGTTTCCAATGAGAAGTATGTCATCCACGTACAGCACATGAAATACCACCACGTTTCCATCACTTTTCTTGTACACACAGTGTTCATCCGGACATTGGGTAAATCCATACGATTGGACAATCTCGTCAAAACGGATGTTCAAAGACCTCGAAGCCTGCTTCAACCCATAAATGGACCTCTTCAGCTTGCAGATTAGATGCTCTTGGCCCTTTGCAATGAATCCTTCTGGTTGCTGCATATAGATGTTCTCGTCCAAATTTTCATTAAGGAAAGCGGTCTTAACATCCATTTGCCAAATCTCATAATCCATATGAGCGGCTACAGCCAAGAGAATCCTGATGGATTTGAGCATGGCTACCGGCGAAAAGGTTTCCTCATAATCGATCCCTTCTTTCTGAGTGTACCATTTCACAACAAGCCTAGCTTTGAAGGTCTCAACCTTCCCATCTGCTCATCTCTTTCTCTTATAGACCCACTTGCATCCAATGGCGCGAACGCCACTGGGTGGCTCTACGAGACCCCAGACCTAATTAGAGTCCATTGACCCTATTTCAGATTTCATCGCCTTTTGCCAAGACTCTGCGTCCCGATCTTGAAGTGCCTCATTGTAAGTCCATGGGTCGGGTTTAAGAATGTCTGCCTCAGAAGACTCTTCCAGACCCATGAATTGTTCAGGCTTCCGAACAACCCTCCCACTACGATGAGGTACTACCTGCTCAGGTGCATCATCAGCGATACGTGTTGCAGTATTTTGTGGTGTAACATCTAGCGCACTCGGTACTGAAGTACTCACTCCCTTTAACTCCTCGAGGACATGTATACTACTGGGCTTATGATCTAAAGCATAGTCTTCTTCCAAGAACCTAACATTCGTGCTAACGATTACTTTCTGGTCCTCGAGACTATAAAATAGACC